GGAGTGCAGTGGCCGCTCCCGGCCACCGCAGCCTCGACCCGCTGGGCTCCAGTGATCCTTCTGCCTCAGCCTTCCGAGTAGCCAGATTTACAGGCGCATGCTACCACACCCGGCTGATTTTTTGATTTATGGTAGAGGAGGTCTCGCTGACCAGGCGGGTCTCGAACCTGCGGGCTCAGGCAATCCACTCACTTCACGCCCGGCTGATTTTTTGATTTATTGTAGAGATGAGGTCTCGCTGCCCAGGCGGGTCTTGAACTCACGGGCTCAGGCAATCCACTCACCTCAGCCTCCCAAAGGCGGGGGATTACAGGTTGAGCCACCGAGCCCGGCTGAAAGTAGATTTACTAAAGGGAAGATACATTGTGAAGGGCACAACAGGCCAAACAGCAGAGAGAGCTTGCAACCTGCTGTCTGCAAAGGGGCAGGGGCTAGAGGGGAGTTTTTATAAGGGGGTGTCAGGGTTTAGTGGGCTGGGAATTGTCTTTGGGGAAGGTTCACAAAAGAAATTTCCAGAGGTTTGTGAAGTGGCTGATTGATGTGTTTTTTTGTTTGTTTGTTTGTTTCTTTTTTGAGTTGGAGTCTCACTCCTGCATCCCAGGCTGGAGTGCAGTGGCACGCTCATGGCCGTCGCAGCCTCGACCTGCTGGGCTTAGGCAGTCCTTCCGACTCAGCCTTCCAAGTAGCTGGAACTACAGACACGTGCCACCATGTCCGGTTAGTTTTTGTGATTTATGGTAGAGACAAGGTCTCACCAAGTTGCCCAGGCTGGTCTCGAACCCCCAGGCTCAGGCAATCCTCTGGCCTTGGCCTCCCAAATTGCTGGGATTACAAACTGAGCCACCATGCAGGCCTGGCCATGAACTTTTACAACCCTGGCTGCTATCAGTAGGTTTCTTTGTAACACTTGCCAAACCTCCTCCTGAGAGTGCCTTCCTCCATTTACCCAATGGACATTGGCCTGATGGGGCCTCATATTCCTAGTTCGCCAGGGGGAAAGCCTGGAGACTGCTCCAGGCAAAGTGCACAGCATGCTCGAGGCCCCAGCAAAGGGCTGAGCAGGGGGGTCAGAGGAGGTCTGAGGGCAGTGGGGTGGATGGCAGGTCTGCAGGAGTCGGCAGGACTTTTAAGGCCACCACAGGAGTCGGCTTTGTTTGGAGACCCACGGGAAGCCACGGCCGAATTTTAGCCACGGGGTGGCTGCTCTCCCCTTCCCAAGGTGTCCCGGGGGCCTGGCCGGTCCCTTCGAAGTTTCGCCCCCTGGCGCCCACAGGCAGCCCTGCCAAGGGCCCCCTTAAGCCCGCGCCACCTTAAGCAGGCCCCACCTCCGGGACAACCCGCCGGGCTTGGCGACCCAGTGGCCACCCGGCCCTTACACGCCCTCCCGCTGCCGTCGCACGATGGCCCGCATGCTCCGGCCTGCGACCTGGGGGCTGCTCCCCTGGCGGGGCTGCTGCTCCAGGGGGACGCAGGTAGGGGGGCAGAAGTCTCACGGAGGGAGGAGGCCCGGGGCCCGAGTTCCCCCGGCTCTGCGCGCCCCGCACCCCGCGAGCTGACCTTGGGCGCAGGATCACGGGGCTCGCCCCTGTCGAGTGCAGGCTGGGCGTGGGATGGGCCGAGATCCCACAGCTGCCACAAGTGGGCCCCGGGGGCCTCGAACGGAAGCTTTGGGGCTCCAGGGGCCCCCGTGGGGCTCTGGAGTAAGCACACACACGTGAAGAAACGCCTGGGAGTCAAGGACCTGGGTTCTCGGCTCGGCTCTGTCCTTGACTTTTTGGCCTCCATTTTTCATCTGTAAAATGGGAAGAAATCCCTAGAAGGGCTTCAGGAGACTTGGGAGCTCCCAACCAAGGCAGAGTGGAATGGGGTGCCTCCGTTTTGGGGAGGAAGTGATTGGAAGAGTTTCCTTCCTGTCATTTCCTTATCAAGCTCTGAGTTCCCTGTGCCTGGATGTCACCTTTTCAATTTGCCCAGGCGGGGCTGGCTACCCAAGGAACCCTGCTGACCGTCTTTTTGTAGGGTGAATCTGGTTTTGATTTTTGTTCTGGGGGTAGTTTCTTTTCTGAAGGAAAATGCTGACCCCACTGGTTCGGTTTGGAAAGGGGCGTTTCTGTATAGTGGATTTGCTTAAAGTAACCACCCCCCACCTCCTGCAAGGACGGTGTCGTGGACTTGGGCGGAGGCCCACTCCGCGCCCCAGTTCTCCTGCCTGACACAGCGCAGGGCTGTGGCCCCAGGTATCTGTGTGTTTCTCCCCTGCAGGGCGAGCTCAGCCAGGGCTTCCTGGAGGCTCTGAAGGCAGTAGTGGGAAGCGCCCAAGTGTCCACTGCCCCTGCGGCCCGAGAGCAGCACGGGCATGATGAATCGATGCACAGGTTGGGGGGGATTTGGGGCCCCCACCCCCATCAGAAACCCGCAGGGAGTGAGGATCCTGGGTTGTCTTCCTCCCCACCCACCTGTTTTGGGGTGATCCCTGCCCCTGCTCACTGTGTAGCCTCTGGCCCTGCAATACCTCCAGGCTCCTTGAGAGGGCAGGGGGACCCGAGGGTGTCACACCCCCTGAATCGCTGAGGGTCTGGTTCTAGGTGCCAGCCTCCGGATGCCGTGGTGTGGCCCCAGAACGTGGAGCAGGTCAGCCGACTGGCAGCCCTGTGCTATGGTCACGGCGTGCCCATCATCCCATTTGGCACAGGCACCGGGCTTGAGGGTGGCGTCTGCGCCATGCAGGTACAGTGTGGTGTCCCCCGCCCTGGTCTGGTCTCACCTGGCGTGGCACATCCGTGGCTACCTCCTTCACACACAGCTCAGCCTGGTCCAGCCCTTGAGCTATCTGCACTCCGGGGTGCTGTTGGGAGGTCACGACAACACTGTCATGGGGTGGGCTCCGGGGGCTGTGGCTTGGCCAGAGACCCAGGTCAGCAGCCTTCTTGGCTCCCCTCCCCTCAGGGCGGTGTCTGCATTAACCTGACCCATATGAACCAAGTCGTGGAGCTGCATCCCGAAGACTTCTCCGTGGTGGTGGAGCCCGGTGTCACCCGCAAAGCCCTTAACACCCACCTGCGGGACAGTGGCCTCTGGTTTCCTGTGGGTAGGCCTGGGGCCTGAGGACCTCTCGTGGGACTTTGGGGTCTCCCTGGGGGCAGGATAGTTTGTGGGGCTCGGGGACCCTTCTTCCCCCGCCCGGGGGCAAAGACCTCCCGCCCCCACCCCTGGGTTGCCCTGTACTTGCTCTCCAGACCCAGGTGCAGATGCTTCTCTCTGTGGCATGGCGGCCACAGCGGCCTCGGGCACCAACGCTGTGCGTTATGGCACCATGAGGGATAATGTGCTCAACCTGGAGGTGGTGCTGCCCGACGGGCGGCTGCTGCACACTGCAGGCCAAGGACGGCACTTCCGGTGAGCCCCCTCTGCCCTGGCTGTGGCCCTGAGGGCTGATAGGGGCTGCCCAGCTGAGATGAGGCCGGTGAGAAGCACCTCCTCCAGCTGGTCCCCTGGCTAGACTTCCCAGGGCTCTGAAGCCCTGTCACATGACCCAGCTGAGGGGACTGGGGTTTGCTTTCCCTGCATGAGGGCTATGGTGCAAAGGGCACTGGGTCAGGGAATCTGAGCCCGAAGAAGGCCAGCCCAGACCTCAGTGCCTGGGGATGGTACCCTGGGTTTCGGCTCCAGGCTTCTGGCCACAGGCCCCTCTTCGTGTGGCCAGGACACTCACCCACCTTGTGTGTCTTGGGGGCCCAGGAAGAGTGCAGCCGGCTACAACCTCACGGGCCTCTTCGTGGGCTCCGAGGGGACACTGGGCATCATCACAGCCGCCACCCTGCGCCTGCACCCTGCCCCGGAGGCCACGGTGGCTGCCATCTGTGCATTCCCCAGTGTCCAGGCTGCTGTGGACAGCACTGTACACATCCTCCAGGCTGCAGTGCCTGTGGCCCGCATTGGTGAGCTGGGGACTAGGGTGGTCAGGTTGGGCTCCCTGGAAGAGGCAGCACCTGGCCTGCCCTCTCTCTGGCGGCAGAGTTCCTGGATGACGTCATGATGGACGCCTGCAATAAGTACAGCAAGCTGAACTACTCCGTGGCGCCAACGCTTTTCCTTGAGTTCCATGGCTCTGAGCAGGCCCTGGAGGAGCAGCTGCGGCAGGCAGGTGTGCTGGGGCGTGGTGGGCAGAGGGGCCAGGCTAGCCCGTGTGGGGACCGGCGCTGACCCTCCTCCCCCTGCCGCAGAGGAGATAGCCCAGCACAACGGAGCCTCCCATTTCTCCTGGGCCAGGGAGGCTGAGAAGCGCAACCAGCTCTGGGCGGCACGGCACAGCTCCTGGTACGCGGTCCTGGCCCTGCGGCCGGGTTGCAAGGTGAGCTGGGGCTGGGTGGAGGCGGGACCGACAGCTCAGCCATCAACCCATTCCTCAACCGCACCATCCTTCACGGAGCAGTGGCCGAGGTCACAGAGGGGCAGGGCCTGGGGCTGGGCAGGTGCTAGGGCCAGACTAGCCCGCCTGGCTGTTTCTCAGACACTGGCCAGAGGGAAAGCACGGTGTGTGCCACACCCCAGCAAGCCCTTCCTTGGGAGTTGTAAAAGCTCTGCTCTTAGGAAATGTAACCCCAGGACAGGCTTCCCAGGGGTAGAGATGATGAAGGGGGGTGTCCCCCAACCCGGGAGTTCTGGCTCCAGGCAACTGTGTAAAGGTTTGGTGGCATGCGGTAGGGAGCTGGGTCAGAGTGGGGAGAGTCTCTGCTGGCAAGACCTGGTGAACACACCTGGACTGAGGGTCTGGCAGAGGAGGGGACACTGAAGCCCAGAGAAGAGCCGGACGTGGCCTTGTGTGAGGCCAAGAGCTGAAGCCCAGTCCCCCAGACTCATTCTCAGCCTTGACCACAGTGATCCCTGACTTCTCAGGGGCAGGCCTGAGGGAGAGGACCTCACAGTCCTGCTCTCTGACCCAGGGCTATGCCACTGACGTGTGTGTGCCCATTTCCCGGCTGCCAGAGATCCTGGTGCAGACCAAGGAGGATCTGAAGGCCTCGGGACTCACAGGTTCTGCCCGCTCCCTGTTGGAGCGAGGTGGGGGGATTTCGGGGCTGACCAGAGCCTGGGGTGGGGG